TCATGATTCTTTCGTTATTTTCGATATTGAGATCGAAGTATCGAAATCATGTAACTGGCAATTTCATAAGATAAAGAATTAAGACGATTCTTTCATGCTTCGAAAGTTTGCCTGTCGAGAAGAATCAACGGACCGTTGACAGTGAGTGTGAAAGCCTAACGTAGCATAGAAACGCTTAGCAGTGAAGATAAAAACTTTTCCACCGCAAAACTTACGAATAATGATATTGACAACCAACGCAAACAGGTACAATCGAACGAAACTCAGCTATAATGCTATAGATGAAAGTGAACTCAAGCAACTCTCGTCCGCTGACCAGTACATACCAGTGAGCACGAACTCTATCCAATTTAAATTCAAAGCATGACAGCGATCCGAAAATCAACCGAGCATCGACTCGGTATCTATCAGTGTGAATGCAAATATGTCTGTGGTCGCTGTGTGGCTTCACAGAAGAGCTGCAACCAAACCCAAGCAGCCATACCCAAACACTCGCATTCAATAACCCACGCTCAAAATTCCAATCCCACCTATTCATGTACCGAGTACAAGTACCTCAGGTTCGGTTAGACTCGTTTAGACTCTGGCCGACGCTGAACCTAAGACAGACAAAGCATGAACCTGAGGGTGTAGGTGTGGGCGTGGGGATAGTGTGACTCACTCCTGAATAGTTACTATAACACCCACATTCTCAGACCCACACTCACACCCACCCACATTCCACACCACACACTTCACCCATACACCCACTTCCTTGTTGATCGATTACATGCTATATTGTATATCGCAGCTTTTCTTGAATATGTTTTAAGAAGTAAATACCAATCTTTAGAAGATTTCATACTTTGATATCTCATGCTATACCGAACGAACCATTTTAGATTAATCTAATTTCCTGATGACCAGTAAACCTGGATTTGATACGATTTCTCGACCACGCCGGAAGTTGGCGCTTGTCATCGGCATAGGTAACTATGAGAGCGGTGAAATATTACACAATACAATAAATGATGCGCGGGATATGTCATCCAAGTTGGACAACATCGGTTTTATTTGCGATGGACCAAAATTAGATTTGACACAGAAAGATATGGAACTCGCTCTAATAGAATTTAAACATTCAATCAGAGAAGGAGATATGGTCTTGTTCTATTTTGCTGGACATGGAACACGATGGGAGGTATGAATCAAGAGCTGTGCGTGTTAAATGAGCCTCTATCTAAATGCTGGCATACGAGGTGATAGATCTTATCTCATTCTTAAGATTAAAAAATCGTCTGAGTTTTCTTGTAAAATTACCGTGGGATCTTTAATTAACGTGTTATGACGTGCAAATTGTTTCTGAAGACCTTTTTTTTTTACATCTTCGTATTTAAGAAGCTTATTGACCTTTTTGTCTGATAGGACCAAAATTTTCTCATACCAAGAGATGATTGCAACATCGAGGCTACTAATACAGACAAACGAGCGATTCTTATACAAAAATTCTTAGACGATTTTAACGATCGCCATCCATTTGCAACCATAATTCTGTTGGATTGCTGTAGATTATATCACTTACGCAATCCTCAATTGGTAATAACGCTAGCACGTGCGAAGAGTGCAAATGTCTCTAAGCCAACTGGCTTGAAACAAATAGATGGAAAAGCTGGAATGTTGATTGCGTTTGCCTGCGCACCTGGAACCATTTCAAACGATGGAACAAATGAAAAAAATGGTTTATTTACGAAGCATCTCCTAGAACATATTGGAACACCAAATAAAGATATTCGAATGGTAATGGCTGCTGTCACTAAAGGAGTCATGACTGACTCAAATTCAAATCAAACACCTTATATTACTGCTACAATATTGGTTGAGTATTTATGCTTATTCGAACAAGGTTCAGGTATATAGTAGTATTATTCTATGCATAACTGAAAGAAGCATTTGCCTATTCGCATTAATGAAAATATAATGAAAAAGAGGTTGTTCACATTTAAGTTGAATGCAGCTCTAATATACCTATTACTAAGGATGCTATGTTGTAGTAAAGTAGGGATGCACCAATTCCAATTCCAACCAATCCCAATTCCAATTCTTGGCTTGGAATTGGCGAAATTGGTTGGAATTGGAATTGGAATTGGTTGGAATTGGTCGGAATTGGAATTGGAATTGGTTGGAATTGGTTGGAATTGGAATTGGAATTGGTCGGAATTGGTTTGGAATTGGTCGGAATTGGTTGGAATTGGTCGATAATTGGTTAGGGTCGATCTAGAATCGGTTGAAGTTAGTCAAGAATGGATCAAGATTGATCAAGGACTGACTGGAATTGGTGTAGAATTGATTTATAATTCATTTATAATTGGTATGCAGTTAATTAAGAATTGGTCGAAATTCTTATGGGATTAGCATTATTTAGAAAATTTTCTGTCAAATGTGAATGTTCAGATGATTCTTTATATAGTACTATAAAAATATCTTCGAATATGAAGAAAAAGTTTTTTTTCGAAAATTTCTCCTAGGGGGTAGGAGGATTTTGAAGATGCACTTGTTTCAAAAACCCTGGGGGATGCACTCTAAAAGAAATCCGTTTTCTGGGAAACCTATACAAGGTTTCCGAGTTTGTCACTATATGAAACCCTTTATAGGTTTCCGAGAAAGGGTTTTCGAGTTCTCTCAAACCCTTAAAAGCAATTAAAAAACCTCAAGATCCCGGAAACGCATTAGAGATTTCCGAGGCTTCGAAAACCTTATATAGCTTTCCGGCAGCTACTCACAATTAGGGGTTGGTAGTTACCGTTACCGTTCCCGGGTAACTGGTAACGAAACCGTTACCAGTTACCCGGGAACGGTAACGGTCCGTTACCAGTTACCCGGGAACGGGGTAACGGTACTACAATTGGGGCCACCTTTAGATCCTAAAGTCGTACTATTGGGGGATACCCTTAGGTCCTCAAGTCCTACTATTGGGGATACCCTTAGGTCCTCAAGTGCTACTATTGGGAGACACCCTTAGGTCCTCAAGTCCTATTAATGGGGAGTACCGTTGGATCCTCAAGTCCTACTATTAGGGGGTACCCTTTGACCCTCAAGTCCTATTATTGGGAGATACCCTTACGTCCTCAAGGCCAATTCTTGGAGGGTACCCTTGGGTCTTCAAGTCCTATTATTGGGGGGTACCCTTGTGTCCTCAACTCCTCCTATTAGGGGGTACCCTTTGACCCTCAAGTCCTATTATTGGGGGATACCCTTGGGTCCTCGAGGCCAAATGCCTAAGCAGTATATTCGCCGTATGGAACTGAGTAGGAGCCCATACATATACCCATCAATCGATAGAGCATCCTCGATAACCCTATGATTGGCCCGAACACAGCTATGTCTTGTCCGAACAATAAGAGAAAAAAGGGCTCCTGAAATCTGATTGGTCTATTTT